AGAGAGAGAGAGAGAGAGAGAGAGAGAGAGAGAGAGAGAGAGAGAGAGAGAGAGGAGAGAGAGAGAGAGGTTGGATGGAAGGCTGAATAACCGATTCCCACCTAAGAACTTTAGCATCTATGTTAGGCAAAATGCTGTGAGTTTATGAGTTAATTATTTTTGACCCAGGGGTAGGCTTTTTCTCTTCAAACATTTATAGTTCTTTATGCTACTTTTAAGAATTTCAAAAGTTCTTTCAAGAACCAGGGTTTGGTCTAAAGTGGCTCAGAAGCAATGGCTCTGTAAGAGGCAGGTTGTGGGAGAGGAAAGGGTCTTATATCGAGGAAAGAGGGTTATTGTTTTCAAATGTCAGCATGCGACAAGAATTAAGAGGTGGCTTCTTTTTTTCCTAAAGTTTGAGAGCTATGCTTTAAGAAAAAGCCCTCTAACAATTGCCAGAAAGTTAAAACAAAGTGAATCTGATTACTAAGTTGTATGTGGACATCTAAAAGCAATTTGTCTGTTACAAATTGTATTTCTATAATTTTCTAATACAGAAATCTTTGGATTATAGAATTCAATTGATTAATATTGTGGGTAGATCTGGATGGAGATGATTCTTTTTCATGGAATGAAGTTTTGACATTAAACTTGGTCATTCTACTGTTATTAAGTTAGCAGGTCCATATCCTTCCACCTCAGCTTCTTGTTAGTCCAAAAAATTAGGAAACAGAAATTAGAAAAGAGAAGTGGATTACTTGACCCTTTGGCCAAGTCAGGGAAAGAATCTACTTTTCCTTCCATGTGTCTGTGAGAGTTTCACAATGTATAGAGAACTATGAATGTAACCAGCAGATATGTAGACTCACTGAGAGACTCCTTACTGGTCCTTTCCTGGGGTTGCCGCCACTGCTCCATTCTTAGCTATGGAGGGTCAAAGGTGTCTCTGTTTAGAATTAGAGTGCTCAGCCGATTACCAAAGCACAGGATCATAAGTTTCTCACTACTGAAGGAACCCGTGTGTATTAAAGTTAGAGGAAGTCATCCCTGTCATTAGAAATTGGTTTTGAAGTAATTAGAAAGTCACAGCATCTTCTGTAGCATTAATAGCCTCTAGAAAATGATGCATATCCAGACTCATCGACAGCACAGCTATCAGAATAGCATTCTTCCTTTGTTGCTTGTTACAATAGAGGTTTGATATATTGCCTAGAGTGCCTTCTACATAGTCCAATTAGCCCTGAACACATAATGATCCCCTTGACTCAGCCTCCTGAATTCTGGGATTACAGATATTTGCTACTATGCCTGACTATTAATGAATTTAGGAACAGATTAGGTGATTATGTCAACAGTGGGATATCGTTCTATTTAAGATTCGACAGCCTGTATCCACAGGTGAGCCTGTCAACAGGAAGTTGACATGGCAGCTTTTCCTCACCACAAGAGAAAAGAAATTGTGGGGCTGGCCTTCTCAGTTTAAGAGAGGCAGCATTGGATGTGGGCCCTTCCTATCTTGGGTTCAAAGCCCTCAGTCACTTTACTGTATGAGTTTGGTTAAGTTACTTGATTTTTTTTTTCCTATGTCTCGGTTTCTTGTCAGCAACTGGGGAATAATTACTCTCTTCTTTGTAGGTTTGTTGGCTAATTAAATCAATTCATATAAAGTTTTATGACAGTTTTGTAACAGATCCTCTGTAAGAAGACACAATTATTACTGATATAGGAAGGCTCACTTGCAGGAATCTAAGGTGACTTAGTTTTTTAATTTCTTTTAAGCGCATCCAGACTCTAAATTCAGCCAGGGAAAGAGTTTTCAGTGGGGCCAACACTATGTAGACAAAATATCCCTTCTTTGTGACTAGTATACAATGATCAGAAACAAGGCTCTGGCAAGCAGATAAGACCAGGGAGTTTTTTTTTAAAGACGCGATTCTACTCAGGCGGCTGGGTAGGCCACTGTAAACATCAGGATATTTAAGTAGGAAGTCAGAGCCCATTGTGGTCCACCAAATGGATGTCTCTTCAGTGTAACAGAGCTACAGATTGCTATCAGCACAACAGAGCCGCCTCCTGTTCCTTTCGGCCTGGTCATTTCCTCTGAGTTGAATGTAGGAACCACCCACTGGGGGTGGCTCTCCCTGTTACAGGTTTTTAGGTCAAACAGAAACCCTGGGGAATGCCTGAGAAAGCCAAGCAAATAGTTACATCTGCCCAGACCGGATGACATGGAGCGACTGCTGTTGTGTGTAGCAGACTCCACATTTGAGTGACATTCCCTGCTGGAGCACTGGAGGAAGCCAGGAGCATGTGTGATCCGGTGAAGAACTTGGTTCAGAAGTTGCTGAAGTTTTTCTAGAGGCTGAGGGCTCCGGGTGAGGCCTTGGTTCTTAGAAGACTGAACTGCGGGCACTATTGGGTGCCCTTCATTATAATCTTCTCGTAGGCCTGCCATGGATGAGACACAGGAACCTCTAGCCTTGACTGTGCATCTTCTTGCCGACACTGGGAATGGCTTGCATCTGCAGCAGGCTCTGGACCAACTCCTGGATTGTATCTGCCCAGAGTTGCGTCTCTTCTTGGTGTCTGAACGGGCCAGACCAATGAATTACCATGAAAAGTACCACCCGCGGAGGACCCGCTTCCCAGGGATGTCTGTTTTGCTCTTTCTTCAGGAAAGCCTGGGACAGGAACGGTTGTTTCGAGTCTTGGACTTCCTACAGCGTTCACCCTGGCAGGGATTCCGTACCCAGCATGCGCAGGGGAGGCCTTGTCCTTACTTCCCTGCCAATCAGGAATTCTACAGCCTGCACAACCAGATGCCTGTGTGGGGTATGAGGCCGGTGCATTGTGGCACTGATATCCTCAGGGTGACTCTGTACTGCAGTTTTGATAACTATGAAGATGCTATCAGACTCTATGAGATGCTCCTACAGAGAGACGCCACTGTGCAAAAGAGCGACTTCTGTTTCTTTGTCCTCTATGCCACCCAGAGCTTCAGCCTGCAGCTCTCTCTGAAGCAGCTGCCCCCAGGAATGTCAGTAGACCCTAGAGAGTCTTCTGTGCTGCAGTTCAGGGTTCAAGAGATCGGCCAGCTGGTGCCTCTTCTACCCAATCCGTGTGTTCCCATCAGCAGCACGAGGTGGCAGACTCAGGACTATGATGGCAACAAGATTCTGCTGCAGGTATTTTATTTCATACATTTCTGGAGGGTACCGGGTTTGCCAGAGTTGGTAGGGTCAGATTCAGGACCCTGGGGGGCTCAAACAAGCTAGACTTGACCATCCATCCTCAGTAGGTCAATTAAAACGACGAGTAGTCGAGGAAGACAGAGAAAGGAGATTTGTTCAAAGGGGTTAAAATGGGAGAACAAGGGAAGAGGTCCAACGCCCCCTCCCACCCCCCCTCCTCCTGGCATGAAGGTTAAGTAGAGGGCAGTAAGTATTCCTAAGCAGTCCTGGTCAGGGTGTGGTTCCAACCGTCATCCATCCATTGTGTCAGCTCAAGCCTCTCCTGCAGGACAGCCAGGCAAGTTTTCATGACTGTGTAAAATCTCTTTCTGGGAGTCAACCCCCCCCCCCAACCTGCTGCCCGCATGGCCCTAGTTTTACCATCTCTGCAGCATGAGATTTCTGAGTAAATTCAGGTTTCTTGGAATCCACTGTGTCGTCATTAGTCTGAGAGCCAAAGGGAGGGGCCCAAGCATTTCTTTAAAACAGCCTCATTCCTGTCAGGACAATCCCTCAAGCTCATGGAAAGGTGTGGTGTGGAGGGACCATAGAGCTAAGTTACTCAGAGGTTTTTCAACTTGATCTCATACTAAGAAACTAGGGAGGTTTTTAAACTTGCCCATGCCAAGTAGCACCCCAGGTCCATTAAAGCAGCAAATCTGGGGAGACCCAAAGCCTTTCCAAAACAACCCCAACCAACCAACCAACCAACCAAACAAACAAAACCCCAAATGCATTGTGAGAAGCTAATCAAATATTGCCGTTGACAGCCACAGACTTCAAATTATACAAGCACTGTATGTGAAAGATAAGAAATATCTGATTTGTGTGATCTTATAGCTGAAAAACCTGAGACTCTGATGATACTCCTTCCCCTGAATGCCCTTCACTATGCCTGTCACCCATCCATATACACTGCCCACTCAGATTCAGTAATATTGTTACTGGAAATTTTGAAACATTTTGCCAGAGTTGTAACATGTCACTGGGGTAATGGCGGTCTCCTGTTGTGGTTCTTAGTCTTCTTAATAAAAGAATTTAAGAATAGACTCAAATGGAGACTCAAAGACAAGTTTCTTGGAGGGGAGGGGGAGGAGGAGGAGGAGGAAGATGGAGAAGGAGAAGAAGAAGAAGTAGAAGCAGAGGCAGTAGAAGAAGCAGCAACAACTTAGAGCAGGCAAGCTATAAATCTCAGCAACTGCCCAGAGGAAGGAGATAGACAAGAGAAGGAGAAAAACCATGCTGTTTGACTTAAGTCTGCATGGAGAACAGCCATGTGACAGGGAGAGAGCCTTAGAAAAGGAGTAAAGCCCAGAGTGTTGTAGAAAGCACACTGAGAAAAGGGATAGAAAAAAATAAGAAATGTTCCACTTAAGAATGGGCTGTCTTGAACCCCCTCTGACTGGCGATCTGAATTCTTGCTTAGGCTGTGAGGCTAAGCACTGCAAGGGAATATAAATGACAGTTAAAAATATCTCTCTGGGTTCCCTGAGGGACAAGCCTGACTGCATAGGGGTTGATGTCAAAAGTATCCCCTCTCCAGGAAAAAGACATTGGGATGGGTATGACACTCATGCCTCACTGGACAATGACAGGGGGACCAGAGCCATTACAAGGTCCCCTTCAATTACTGGATGTCAGGCCTCTATCCTCGCCTTTGCAAGATTAGAATCGCCACAGCCCTTCTATACCTAGAGAAGGGAGGAGATGTCAGGGGGAGCCCTGCTTATACATTGAAGGCCTAAAATCAGTTGTAGGCCTAAAATCAGCAATAGGCATGTCATACATGCATGCTAACACCAAGTTTTGGGTCTCTGTGGAAAAACATTGAAACAAATGGCTATAACCTATTGTAAACAGGCAGCTTTTGTGGAAATTTACCAGCCTGAGTAGTCACAGACCTTGTAAATAGGAAGCCTTGGTGGATAATACCAACTTAGATAAGGACAAGTGAATCATAGCAGAGTCATAGTGACCTGTCCCCTGAAACTTCACCCAGCCGATACTCTGTTCTGAAAGATATCTCTGCGTCTCCTGAACACCCATGCTCCAGTGTCATCCCCTTCCCCATATCCTGCCTTTTCGTGTTTATAACCCCTGTGTGAGTAAGTAAAAATTATGATTTGATTTAAAAAAATAAATAACTAAAAAGAAAAAAAAAGAATGGACCGGCTTGAGGTACCCTGGGTCCTCACAGGGAGCTGATCCAGGCTCTGGCAATGGAGTCAGGAGTTCTTTCCACAGACCTAAGGAAGGCAAAGTGCAATGGTGCTTGGGTAGGTTTGCAGCATTTTCCATTCCTGACCAATTCAAACAGAAATCAAGTTCAGCGGCCATAATGGCTTCTTTAGAAAATCTGAAAACCACTCTTTTCAGCTATCCTACTAATGCTGAACACAGCCCAGTGTTTATCTAATCATGATGGCTGCCATGTACTGTCCATTACGACACATGATGTGGCAGCTTTGACACTTAGTAGCTGTTGTGACCTCAATGAAGTGGTACTGGCATCTTCCTGTGGTAAGGCTGTTGATCGTCATGGAACGACATAACACTAATAATTCCACATCAGTATATTTTAGCTACTGTTGTGCATGTTATGTACTGTACTAAGATTTTTAAATCACTAAGTTTATTTAATCTTTATAACAACCTCTGGAGTCACTATCATTCCTGGAGAAGAGCGAGGCACAGCTGTTTGTCCAAGATACAGCTAGCATTTGTCTCTGAGCTCTTAAAGTCTGTTTGACTAATGTTAGCACCACAAAGGTGGGGCATAGGAGATAGTCAGGGCGGTGACAGTTCGTGGGCTCATAAATGCAAAGGAAGTAAATGACCATCAAAGCAAATATTTCATGGTGTCTGCACTTGGGAAATGATCAGAACCTGCCCCCTTAAGGCCTAGTGTATGCAGTAACACTAGGAAGAAATTGTTGCTTTAGTTAATAAAATATGAAATATATGTATTCTATCATAAATAATTCCTAAATTCCTTTTTCTTTGAGTAAAATGCAGGACATACATATTGAACTAAAATGAAAGCCCCAGAAAGCTGGGAACGGACCCTCAAAACCTGTGCTCAGATATATTACTGGGAAATCTGGGTACCTTTCATGGGTTCTTTGTCTTACAGAGAAAAGAATTTAAAAATGACCCAGTGTGAAAGATGTCTCTGCTGGTAAAGGTGGCTGTACCAAGCCCAAGGACCTGAGTTCAAACTCTAGGACTCATGCTGGAAGGTGAGAAGCATCGTACGAAGTGTTGCTCTCTGACCACACACACTTTGGTTACCAAGCAACGGCCTAGTGTATTACTTCATGCTTAGAAAGGATGGAGAGATGTCCTTTCTTTCAGATGCTTCATGTATAACTCCCCAATTTCCAGGACATCTGAACTTTCACATTTACTTCTGGTTAATCTCCAGAACTTAAAATAAGCATCCCTGGCATACAGTAGGGAACATGTCCTCATTTGTTCCTGCTCTGAAGGCTAAGTGATGTTTAATTCGGAGACTCCATTATATAATTAGTTACTTTGGGGAGTTGAATCAAATTTGGGGAGTCTGGTGAAGTTTTTTGGTGAAAGGAAAACCAGTCAAGAATATGAAAATAACTCCATTGTCTTGGGATGATTCAGGACTCTCAACACCTATGAAGTAGGGACCCAGAGAGTGTCCTTCATTTTTGTGACCTTCCTTGGACGCTGGTTTGTGCACATCGTCACTACTCCAAAATCCTGGGATTTGGCTACTTCTTGATTGTTTTGTATCTATGACTCCATACTTTTTTTTTGCAAACAAAATGAGGAATTGTTTTCTAGAAAATTTTACCATCATTTCTTGTCCTAAAAATGTTTGAATAGAGAGTACAAAAGGCTAGACTATGCTCTGCTTTAGAAGTTGGTGTGTTATAGTTACAGTACAGCCATTGCTTCTCTTGGAATGAAGTAAGATGTTTAGGATGCAAAGCCCAGTGTAAACTTCCTTGGGATCAATGTTAGGACAATAGGGATGGGTGATGAATGCTCTGGCTTTTGTAACTAAGTGGTCTGGGCCTTAAGTAACATACAAAGCTCTGCTTTTCTACATTGCTCTTGGCTCTATAATCAGTTCACAATGTCCCAGTAAAGTTTCTTGATTAGACTCCAGTTGGACCAATGTTGACTAGATTCTCTCTTCTGAATTAATGGGTGTATTCAAAGAGTGGAGTTTTATGAATGGAGTTAGTCCTAAGCAAAGATTTGACCTTCACCTTAGATGCTGTGTGGGGTCATGCTGATGTATGGAACTGTCACAAAAGGGTGAAGGTCCTTAATGAAGATCCATGTGGAGAAGGCAAGTGCCGAATGCTTAAGATAAGAAAATAATGTCTATCACTAGGAGAATCGTAATTACAAATTAGCCACTCCACAGATAACCTCTCCATAGGGCAAAGGGGCCCAAGTATCTCCAGTGCTAAATCCAGGGGGCCATGAGGAAATTTTCTTAAGAAGTGCTGAGGAGTCAAGCATGGGTTACATGGCACAGAAGGAAGCCAGATACTGAAGGGAGGAAATGTGGTTTCAATGGTAGAGGCAGTGTATAGTACAGTACTTCCTTAGCAGGGCACACACAGCACATTGCTTGAGGCTGCATGTAGCTGCAGTAAAGGGAAAGATCTCATTGCATGTGGATGGATAGACGGCCAGAGGTCAGGTCATCAGAAATACGATTGATGATGGGATATGAGCATCAAGAAGGAAGTCATCTTTTCCAGTTCACTTCTATGAGGGTAGTATCCAAACTACTGCTTAGTATGTGGGAGGCATGTACCTTCTTTTATGAGTGAATACTTGAGAAACAGTTTCTATTCTAACTTTAGTTCACAGGCTGAGGGAGCCTGTGAACAGCACTGACATGTATGATTTGTATTATGAGAATCAAATGTAAGAACATACATGCAAGTGCTTTGTAATGT